TTTTGCACGGGAGCTGCAATGGAAATTTCGTTGAATTCTGTTCAGTGACAATAAATGCTATCTATCTATCTATAAACCCAGAGCAAAAAAGATATCAGGGAAGGGGGAATATCTGTGATGTGGCGGGGGCAGTGCCAAACGTTTACATATTTTCTGGGACTGTCAAGCCGTTCGGTAATATTTGTCTCGCATCCATGAACATTTACAGAACATTTTCACATTTGATTTTCCTTTAAACTTTGAATGCATACTTTTATGGAACATACCGCTGGACAATCTGAACTATAATGATCAAAAACTTCTGTACACTTTACTGGTTGGGAGCAAAAAGGCCCTCACAAGAAAATGACTCAAACAAGAACCTCTAACAACTGAAGACCGGGTTAATGTACTGAAAGAGATTTATGTATTGCAGAGACGGTCTTTTTCTGTCAACGTGCAGAGGGACACTTTCTACAAGATATAGTCAAAGTGGACAGAATATGTCAAGCCTGTTATGGCGGATTTTTTTGTAAACCTTCCTATCGTTCAAATCGCTGCTTTGATTTGAAATGTGATGTCAATGATTGGATTGTTTTCCAGCTACCCTGCCAACCCCATTTAAGTTCTGGTTTGTTTTTGTTGGTTTTGTTTTGTTTCGGTTTTTTTTTTGTTTGTTTGTTTGTTTTTTTCTTGAGAAAAAGTGTGAAAAATGAGAATGAAATCAATATAATTATATTACTGTAAAAAAAAATGTTTGTGGTGTCTTTTCTTAGGTCATAGTCACACACAAAGAGTCCTTTAAACAGACTTACCTCCACTGCTGTTTTCATCATCTTGCCACCATGAAACTGTTGGTTTCTGACTGGATTTCTGGCTGCTTCTAGTTTTAGACTGCTTGTCAGGGCTGCTTAAATCCACTGAGTCATCTGAAACAGACTTTTAGACATTGGATCAAACAAAATGCCGAAACAATGACTGCCCAGCACCAAGAAAAACAAAATGCAAAAACTCAGAAGTAGAAAACCTACTAGGCTATTTTCTAAATGAATCAATTTTTTGCATTTAAAAAGGAAAATATTTTTCTTAACATATTTTTCACAGTATTGAAATTAGGCCTGTCACATAAAATTTTGCTGGCGATTAATTGTCCCAGAAATTATAGTGATAATCAAGAATATTGTCATTTTGAGACTATTGTTAATAGCAAAATAATTATCTAACAATGCAAATACACCCTCTCAGGGGTCAATAAACTTTTGTCGCTGTTCTCGCTATCATGTCCCATGTATTGGGTTCAGCCAAAGTGGAGGAAAACTGAGTTTTAGCTCCCTGTGTGTTTTGCAGTTACCAAGGAAATAAGATAGGAGGGAGTAACTAAGTGCCACAGTGAAGCTTTTTGTCATGCAGTCTCTTTGGTAGAAAGAGAGAGAGATGCAATGAAAACAAACAAGCAACCCTCATTTTATTATTGAACTCATTTTAATTTATTGTGTAATTCATTGATTTGTTTATCGCGACTGTGATGGTCCGACCAGTCAAGGACAAGGACAAAGGCATATATAAAAAAAATATCTTCTATTTATTTTTTCCAAAAAACATCTTAACAAAAGGTTTCAACAACAAATCTAAAAAATATAACAAAATGGGCCCAAAAGAAATCAACTAAGGCAAACATAACTCAAGATAACAAACCAAAAACTGACCTCACACAATGAACACACAGGGGAATTTATACAAACAGGCTAGCCTACACAAACGAGGAGGGGAAGGGAAGGAGACAAAGACAAATAATGTATAAACATAAATGATTAATTTAAACTAAAACATTTTGACTTAAACACCACTATAAAAACCAAATAACCTAACACCAAAAAGGTTTTAGCAATTATGCCATTAGTGGAAAGAGGCAGATTTTTTCACATCAAGTCCCCTGCTTCCAGCAGCCTGATGGACTGTTCCACTTCCTGGTTTTCCTTTCAGCCAACCCCCTTCTGTCAGCCAGTCCTTAAACTCAGCAAACAAAATAGTTAATGATCTTAAAAAAAAACATAAGGCGTTTACTAAATGTGTGCACCCAAATTAGTAAACAACCTAATGCAATAACCACCATCAAAGAAAACCCACCAAAGAAAAAGTGAAAATCTAAATATATTATATGAAAACATTTAAATAAATACTAACACTGAGGAAAAGGTGGAGGAACCTCCACAGCGACAGACCTAATTGACATGTACCCATTTTTCAACCTGATGATATCAAATGGTTGATATCCCTAACTTCAACAACTCAATACAAAGATATTTCATATTGAAAAACGTCAGATTTCAATGGAAAGACAGACAAAGGAGGCTGTACCAACCAATCCAGTCTCTGAATCAATGGTCTTTCAGTATAAACATAGTGGATTCCTCCATCTGTGTCTTCTGTATGGTGGTTGACACAGGGAAAGCAAAATGTGGCAAAATAATTTCAACAATGGTTGGTGGGGTTTTTTCCCCCATTTGAGGTGTGTTCATGATGCTTAGCGCCAAAGTCAAATTTTAAACTGTGGATTTATGTGAGACTAGTGTTTAACCCTTTAATGTTAATTTCTGAGGAGTTTACCAGCTGCCATTTTTTAAGTGCATTACCTCTTTCAGGAACTTCTCAAACTCAGCATCCAGCTCTTCCTTAGTCTGTCTGTAAGACATTGTAATAATGCTCCTCAGTTGTGGACTGAACCTGAAAAAGAATCCCATGAAGTATAAATTAATAAACAAAGTGATTTCTTGTAAAATGCTCCGGTTTAATGCTAATATTACTTACATAATATTAAAAAAATATTTAAATGCAATACATTTCTATTTAAATTTCCTGTGTTATTACAAGTATGTGATATATGTTTATATAATATGTGTACTTCCTATGTTATAACATATTTACAAGTATATTATTTTCAAGGCATTATCAATAGAAAAGAAATAATGAAAAACAATAACAATGACAAATAACTGAAGTGCTACACTTACAATAAGCAGCATACTGAGACTCTAATTTTAGTGTGTCCCATTTGACAAAGGGGTTATGTCACTGACTTTACATAACCGAGAGAGAACGCAAAACATTTTGCGAGGGGATGCAAAGGTTTTGCGAGGGAACGCAAAAGAAGAAAAAAATCCTATGTCCCCTGGAGGGCTCCGTA